GAGTTCCGCCGTCGGCCCGCCGCGGTGCCAGACGCGCCCGACATGGCCCCGCGCCAGCTGCGGCGCTCGGCGGCGTCTCGCGCCGCCGCCGTGGCAGGCGTGATCCCGAAGGCGCTGCAGGGCCGACTGCGCCGCGCCAGTGCGCGGAGCACCGCTCGGCACTCGAGGCGCACCCGCTACCTCGCCGAGCTCGGGAAGGTCAACGAGGAGGTCGCGATCTGGGCCGCGCAGGTTGGCCGACGTCGGCCAGGTCCTGGGCGAGCAGCGGCGGCCCCAGTGCCCGCCGTTCCAGCTCGGGAAGCCGCCGGAGTCGAGGCGGCCTTGCGGAGCCGCGCCCGCGCCTGCCGCCAGGCGCCTGGGCAGACGCTGCTCGAGGTCGGGCGAGGGCGAGGCGAGCTAGCCCGTGCTGCCGAGCTCTCCAGCTCAGGCCACAGTGCGTGGATAAATCGATCGCTATTGGCTAGCGCCAGCGTCCACCGTCGCCTCGTGGGCTGGGTCTCCTCGCGGTGCGTTCTGGCCGCTGTCTTCGTTCGGCCGAGATTCGGCGAGGATGAATCGTGTAACGTGCTAGCTCGTCCGGTCCATAAATGCTTGATCATCTCGTGCCCGTGCGTCGCGATTTTCCCATCGGGTAGCGCCAGCGCGCGCTCCGCCGCGTTTTAGCATCTAGTGAACATTTGCGATGGGAGATCGTCTTGTGTCGCCCTGTGGTTTCTGGTGTCGCCGAGCGAACCACGACACTATGAGGGCACTTATTTTCGCGTGGTTCTCCCGCGGATGGCGGCGGCCCTTGCGGGCGCGCTGCGTTCGGTCCGCCTCGCGCGACCCCGCGCGCCCGCTTGTCATTGTCCATTGCGAAGTGGTTCTGCTCGTGGCTCGCCCTCAGAGCAGCCAGGGTTTCCGAGAGTTTTCACCGTAAAATGCTCTCAACATGAAGTGGCCAGATGCCAGGCAGGGCAAGATAGGGTCGTTGAGGCGCGGTCTCGGCGCCGCTCAGAATGCACGAAGCTCGAGCATGCACGCAACAGGTACAGTTCGCACAGCCCCGGTGCAAAGAAGTTCTGGCCATCCACGGGGGGGTGTTCAGACCTATCCAAATGTTTGTGTCGCTCTGGTCTGTCCCCTTCCATGGCCGTTCGTGCTCCGCAAAATTCCAAGCGCGCCCGCCCTCGTGCCACCCTGTGCTGCATTAGACCTTTTCATGTGTCGGGGGTCGTTGTGGCGCGGTCTCGGCGCTGCTCAGAATGTACGGAGTTCGAGCATGCAGGCAACATGTACAGCTTGCACAGCTCCGCTGTAAAGCAGTTATGTCCATCCACGGGGGGGTGTTCAGACCTCACCGTCATTATCATCATCATCATCATCAGCAGCATCATCATATTAACTGCCACTATAATCATCATCACCAGCACCACCGGCATCGCCATCAGCACCCGCACCTTCACCATTACAACCACCACCACCACCATTACCATCACCATGACCATCACCATCACCATCAACGCCTGCATCATCATCATCATCATCCTCACCACCACCACCATAATCATTTCCATCATCACCACCGTCATCACCATCACCATCCTCGTCCTCATCATTCTCACCGTTATCATGATCACTTTCATCATCATCATCGGCCTGACCACAACCATCATCACCACCATCGACATTCCCATCCTCATCGCGATCATCCTTCCCATCATCACCATCAACAGCATCATCATCATCATCATCATCATCATCGTTATCAACATAAACATCGTCACCTGTATCCCGCTAATCCTCGTCTATCCTCCAGCCTCCTTCCCCTTCGCCAGCGCAGGAGCTGCTCTACCGAGCCACCGACATCGTCGGCAGACGGCTGAACTCACCGGCCGCCAGGGGGTGCACCAAGGGCACGCCAACCAGCGCAGGGCGCGGGTAGTCACGCTGCCGCCCAACGATGGGCCCGGGAATGATTGGCGCCGAGGGATGCGTGATGGAGGAGGACGAGAAATCGCCAGGTACACGGAAACGCTGTCCCTGAGAGCAGCGTCGTGAGGCTACTCCTCAGGAGGGTGTCCTGGGGTAGGGGGATATTGCTCCCGCCAATCAACACCCTTTTCAAGGCGCTTGAAGTTAACCAGATGGTCCTCCTCAGTGGCTGCTTAGGCGGAGGAGTAGGATGAGGATGGCGAGGGCAAGGAGGAGGAGGAGGAGGAGGAGGAGGAAGAGGAGAAGGACGAGGAGGAGGAGGAGGAGGAGAAGGAGAATGTGGCGGGAGGGACGAGGGGAGGAGGAAGAGGAGGATCGAGGTTTTGTAGGGGGACCAGGGACAGAGAGGTGAGGAAGGGAGGGAGGGACGGAGGGAGGGAGCGAGGGAGCGGGGAGGGGGAGCGGGCGACTGTGAGGGGAGAGCGGGTGTATGGGGCAAGCTGGGTGCGCCCGCGCCATATATGACATCCGACCCCTCCTGCCCATTCCTTTCCATCGCGCTCAATGTTCTGTCCGCCAACGGGTGTCCTAGCAGACCTTGCTCGCCAAAGTGGCCCCATCATTCAGACAGAGGAGCTTTGTACATGGGAGGAGGTGGTGGTCGACGGGCAAGAGGACGAGCAGTCGGACGGGGAGGAGGAGGAGGAGGAGGAGGAGGAGGAGGAGGAGGAGGAGGAGGAAGAGGAGGAGGAGGAGGAGGAGGAGCAGGAGAAGGAGGAGGAGGAGCAGGAGAAGGAGGAGGAAGTGCAGTAGGAGGAGCAGGACGAGGAAGAGAAGGAGGAGGAGGAGGCGGAGAATGAGGAGGAAGAGGAGGAGGAGGAAGAGGAGGATGGGAAGGGGACGGGGGAGGGAGTAGGTCATGCAATCAGCGTCACTCACAGGTCATCCGCGCCAACGCCGCCCACCACCGCAGCGACGTCTGGTCGTCAGTGGCCCCGCTGGAGACCGAGCCGCCGAAGCGAGGGGCGAGGGACCAGCGCCACGTCCGTCCCGCCCATTTTGGTCCCCCAGTGGTACAGCAGGATCTCGGCATTGCGTCGGAAAAGGAGGGGAGAGATGATGATGCTGCTGATGATGATGAAGATGCTGATGCTGATGCTGATGCTGATCATGATGATGATGATGATGATGATGATGATGATGATGATGATGATGATGATGGTGATGACGACGATGAAGATGATGATGATGGTGATGATGGTGATGATGATGGTGGTGGTGGTGGTAATGATGCTGATGATGTTGCTACTGATGGTGATGCTGATGATGGTGGTGATGATGCCGATGATGATGATGATGATGCTGGTTATGATTGACATGGTGATGCTGATACTGACGATGATCATGATGATGATGCTGCTGACGATGATGACGATGCTGGTGATGATGATGGCGATGATGATGCTGATGCCGATCATGTTGGTGATGATGCGGATGCGGATGCTGGTGATGATGATGATGATGATGATGATGGTGATGATGCTGGTTGTGGTGTCGATGACGCTAATGATGATGCTGACCATGATTATAATGATGGCGATGATGATGCTGATGAAGCGGATGATGATGGCCTTGATAACGGTGATGATGCTGATGTTGTTAATGATGATGCTGATACTGGTGATAGTGATGATAGTGATGATGGTGATGATGCTGATGATGTTGGTAAGGATGATGCTGATAGTGATGCTGATGATGATGTGATGATGATGATGATGATGCTGATGAGGTTGATGATGCTGATTATGATGACGCTGATGTTGATGACGAGGATGTTAATGATGATGATGATGATGATGACGATGATGATGATGATGATGATGATGATGATGATGATGATGATGATGATAATGCTGATGCTGATGCTGCTGCTGCTGCTGCTGCTGCTGATGATGATGATGATGATGATGATGATGATGATGATGATGATGCGGAGGAGGAGGAGGAGGCGGAGGAGGAAGGAAGAGGCGGAGGAGGAGGAGGAGGAGGAGAATCAGGACGAGGAGGAGGAGGTGGAAGTGCCAAACCTCACCGCCCTCATTTACTTGAGCCGATCGCCGCTGCAGATCAGAGCACGGCCATCGTGAGCGGCTTCGGGAGGAGGAGGAGGAGGAGGAGGAGGAGGCGAGGATGAGGATGAGGATGAGGTTGAGGAGGAAGAGACGCACAGAGTACACAGGAGTTCTGGTAGGAGTAGGCGGAGAAGGACGAGGAGGACGAGCAGCAGTGAGGGATGGGGGAGAAGGATGGGGAAGAGCAGGGGGGAGAATATGAGGGGGAGGGGGAGGAGGAGAAGCAGCAGGGGGACAACGAGACATAGGAAGGACGTATATGAGGATTTCGAGCAGCATGGTGGTGGTGAGGAGGAGGAGGAGGAGGAGGAGGAGGAGGAGAGGGAGGAAGATCAGGATAATGGTAGCGCTGATGAGGATGAGGGCAATGCAAACGGAGACGGAGGAGGATCAGGAGGAGGAGGAGGAGGAGGAACAGGCGCATGATCAAGAGCACCAGCTCCAGCTTGTCTATGTACCAGCTTTTTGGGCAGTGCCCACAGGTGGGTATTACCTGCTACTGGCGGGGTGCACATACAGTGGCAGCAGCTGGCAAATATGTCGGCCCTTTTCCACAATGGTCTGGGCGGCGTCTGTGAGAAGCGCGCGGGGGCTTCTGCCAGCCCTTGGGCGGTGGAGGAGCCAGACACCCTTGTGCTGCCCGCTTTCGCTTCCCCGTGGGCCACATATGGTATCACCCCGAGACGCTATGTTCCCCGAGGTCCCATGGGCGCCCTGGCGCTGCCGATCCCGTGGATCTCCGCAGTCGTTTTGGGTCTGGGCGCTCCAGCCCTGATGCCACCCAGAGCCGGGGTCGAGGAAGCTTTCGCAGCCATAGCCCCAGCAACGCAGCCCGCGAGTGAGCTGTTGCGACTCGGCGGAGCTGCGGGCCTCGGCTGATGGCGGCTGGCGCGGCAGCTGGTGCCCCGAGGAGGAGCGGAGGCTGTCGCACTTGGGCCGCTGGCCAGCGGCGGTATGTGGATCAACACTGAGCTGGACCCCGATGCCGTGCGCAGGATCGCCCTGCGCCTTGGTACTGCGCTTCGGGTTGGAGTGCTCGACGAGCAATGGGGTTCGCAGGGATCGGAGCTCGTGCGTGTGCGCCGTGCCGGCACCCAGGAGGGCGTCGAGGGGCTCATCATCGAGTTCGACCACTTCGGGGCCTCGGATGCATACTTCGAGTGGTACACGAGGGCGTTGGGCGAGCAGTGCGCTCGCTCACCACAGACGCTGCTCCGCCCGTGCAGCGGAGAGGCTCGGTCCTGCCCATGTCGTAGCGGGCGAGGGCTGGACCGTGGAGCATGTCGACCTCTCGCGCGTGGCTTCCATCGCCGAGGCGCGCGCGCTCTCCGCAGGTGGGGCGCCGAGGACTGCGACGAGGTGCTGCCCGACACCGAGCCAGGTGGCGGCGCCCCCCCAGGCGAGAGCCCAGCGGAGGGTTCTGCTGCAGGGGGGGCGGAGCCGCCTCGCAGTGGCATGGCAGCCTCGGCGCCCAGCGGCGCCTGGCGGCCCGCGCGGCGGCGGCCCGCCGCGGCTGCACTGCCGGAGCTGCAGGCGGGGGACCTGGGCGACGGCGAGGACGAGGGCGACGACGACTTTGCCGAGGACCTGTTCGAGCTTGACAACTGCGAGCCCCAAACCATCCCGCGTTGAGACAAAGCACGGCGCGAGATTCAGGGCTCAAAACCGGCCCTGGGGAAGGGGTCAAGACCTTTGGGGCCGACGTTGAGGAAAAATCGCGACGTCGTGGGTCTATGGCCAGTGCCTGATCAGGGTCGGCGTGCCGCCCCTGGCGCGCTGCTGCTGATGTCCCCCGCCGTGGCACCGCCGGCTCACGAGCGGGCGGCCGAGCGGAGCAGCGCGCTGGTGTAGGCCTCCCTGGAGAGCCCGGGCCTGCGCGCCCCGCGTAGGCTGGCCCCGCTAGCCGCCGAGCGATAGCCGCGCCGACGACGAGAGCGGCCCGAGGCTGGGTCGAAGGGCAGAGGGCCGGGCCAGCGGGGAGACCTTCTCGACGGGGCGATGCGCGGCCTCGCGAGGACGGCGAGGGCGACGGCCAGAGGACGGCGGAGCTGCTGCAGGTTCGCGTCGGTGCAAGGCACCCCCGGCAGGATGAGGAGGCTGGCCCAGAGGTGACCGCGAAGGGAGCTCAGGCGACGCTGGCCGTTCGAGCCATCGAGAAGGTAGGGCCAGGGAGACAGCCCAAGGAGAGGCGGAGCTCAGTCGAGATGGCAGCAGGTTCGCATGGTCTCGCAGTCCCAGCAGGCAGCGCGCCGGAGATCATCCGTGACCGCGGCGCGCACTTCAGCCGGGACCCGATGGGCGCGCTGGGAGATTTGGACTGGGCGGCCAAGCTTGTCGAGGCAGAGGGGCTTGGCTACAACGGCCGGGAGGTCGAGCGCGCGGGGCCGCTGCTGTTGGGGAGCTCCTGCCGTGGGCTACCCGAGCCTGGCCTGGCCGGGCTGGTGGGGGCCGTCGACCTAGCTGCCCCCCGCGCGAAGCAGCGGCTGCTGGGGCCCGCCCGCCGGGTTAGGCCCCGCGAGGAGTGGCCGGAGACAGCCCCGAAGGGGCCAGCGCGCAGGTCGCGAGCGGCGAGGAGTGCATCGCGATCTGCCAGAACCTGGTCACCACGGGGATCTTCGAGCCGATCGACGATGACGCGATCCTCAGCTTGAGCGGGGGGCAAGTTTTCGCGGGGGCCTCCGCCGTGACCAAAGGCGCGTGAGCCGACGCCGCCGTTCACGTAGGTTACGAAACTCATCGCCAACATGGCGCCACAGAGCGCGTGCCAGCGCATCGCGGAGACCGACTTGGGCACCCGGGCGCCGAGCTCGTCGTGGATCAAGATGGCCGTGCCGGCGACCCCCACGCGGTGGCTCTCGGCGGTCAGCCCGTTCCAGCACCCCCGCCGCAGGATGAGCGTTGGCCGGGGCCCCCGCGGCGTCAACTTCGCCGATGGCTGCGAGCGGGGGCGCGACCGCCCGCCGCCGTTGGCACCGCGGGTTCTTGCGCAGGCGCGGGCTCAGCGCCGCCTCGACGACTCCAACTCGGAGGCTCAGCGCGCGCCGCCTCGACGGCTCAGTCTGGTCGACGCGGGGGGGGGGGGGGGGCGCGCGCGGCTGCCGCGATTGCGGCGCCGACGCGGTGCCCGCGCAAAGCGGCGATGCGCGCGTCGTCGGAAAGTGGCAATGCTGTGAAGAGGTGTTTTCAGTAGCCGTGGCCTGGCGTGATCGGGCTCGGGGGCGTCGCCGAGGTCCCCGCGGGGGCCCTCCAGCAGCTGGCGCGGGCAACTGCGGGGTTTGCCCAACTGGGCGCGGCGGGGGGCGGATCGCCCCGCTTGGATCTGAACGGGCGCGGCGCTGCGGGCATGAGCGGTAAAGAGCGGCCTGCTCTTCGAGATGTCTCGGGCCTTGAGCGTCGCCCAGAGGGCCCATGGCAATGGGCGCAGCGAGTGCCGCCGAAATAGCGGCCAGCGTGGCCCGCAGAGCGACGCCCAGCGCGTCTCGACTGAGCTGGGCGGGGGGCCTTGCCGGACCGAGGCGATGGAGCCGGGGGCCGCGAGGCGCCCGCGCTTGCACTGGCTGTCTTGGGCGCTCCAGGAGCTGACGGGCGCGATCGTCGTCGAGTAGCGCGAGCGCTGCCGCGGGCTGTCGCTGCGCGCGGGCCGATCCGCCTTCCCCGCGCAGGCCGAGGCCAGGCGGGGCCGGCTGGAATCCGAGCGGGCCTAGCCGACCTTCGCGACGCTGCGCGCGAGGAAGTCGCCGCTGGCGCTTGAAGCAGATATCAAGACGGAAAGCTCAGAGGCGATCGCTCGGTCGGAGGCTTCCAGTTTTGCGCCGCAGTTTATTTTTGAAGATGAGAGCTCGTCGTGGGCCCCCTTCCGCGCCAAGTGGCGGATATCTTCGGCCGACGAGCGCGAGACGCTCGCGGGGCGTGTCCGGGGCCGCGCGGGCGCCGCGGTGAAGGAGTCGTTGCCCAGTCAGGAAAGACATTATCGGGTCATCGTTCATCGGCAACTCTTTCTCGGCGCAGTTCGCGTCGTGTCCCTTTGCGCCGCTCTCGGCGCGGGCGCAAAGCATGCCCCGCCCAGGCGTCGCGCCGCGCCTGCGCGCGGGCTCCGCCCCAGCAGCGCTGGCGCTGGGGCCAGCCTTCGGCGGCGCCGGCGTGGGCGACCCCGACCTCGTGCGCCTGATTGCGCAACCGCGGGCTGCCAGTCGCCGCGGCGCAGACGTCGGGGCGGGTCCGCGGGCGCCCTTCCGAGCGCAGGCCCGGCCGCGTTCGAGGCCTCAGACCAGGTTGCGGACGCGGTCAATTCGTCGCGGATTCCCGTGGAAGGAGCAGGGTCGCATCGACGAGCTCGAGGTGGGCGCCGCCGTGAATGCAGTCAAGTGGAGACCGAGGTCTATCATCAGATTCAGGAGCCGCTACCTCCGCCAGCTTGACTCGTCGGCGGCCGCGGGCGCCCTGGCCGCAGGGCGACCCGGCGCGGGGAGGCTATGGGGCTGGATGCAAGGACGTGGCGTCTACCTCCCGGCCACCGGCGCGCGCCCGCTGCGCGCCTGCGTCGACGCGGGCGACGACCCAGCGGGCGCGCCCTCTCGCTGCCTCGACGGTCGACGCCGAGGGGCGCCGCCGCGGGGGCAAGCGCGGCCGCGGGCAGGGATCGACGCGCGACGCCGCCGACGATGGCGAGTCTTCGGTGACGCACGAGTGGCTCCCGCGACATAAAGACGATGCAATCAGGCAAAGAGGCGGCTGCCCCAGCATTGGCGGACACAAGACTGGCGCCCGTCGTCCGCCAGGCGAGTCGACAGGGGCGCGGCCGCCCACTTTGAGCTCGCGCGGCGCCCCCAGGGCTCGCCGCTGACGGTGAAAAACATTCTCGCTGCAGCGCCCTACGTTGTCCCGCAGTTCTCAGGCAAGCTAAAGTTGAGTTGGGATCTCCAGACGACACGGCAGAAGCTGGAGCCAAGCGTGCGCGCAATGCCTCTCGCCCCGTTGCTGGCCGCAGCCTTTGCAGGGGAGTTCTGCTGGCGGGCCGCCCCCCCGCGTCGGCGCCCTGCTTCCGGATGGAGATTGAACCTGCGGCGCAGCAGCCTGCGGTATTTTTTTGCGACGCGGGCTGTAGTGATAGCGCTGTGCGTCGCAAATCTGGCCAACGGAATGGTCGAGGCGAAATTGTGGTCGTGAGAAGCAAGACAGCAGTTCGCCTTTTGCGCCAGCATGTCGCGGCGCTGGCCCAAGAACAGGGATCTTGGGCATCAGCAAACCGTTGTTGTTCCGCCTGTTTAGGAGTGTCGTCATTGCTCTATGGTTGGGAAGCCAAACATGAGACATTCGATTTCCCCCGCAGAATGGAGGGGGCAGTCACGACTTTTGATCGCATGGCAGCATGGAGTTGACGATATTGGGAGGTCGGTGGGGATGTGCAAGATGCTGTGGCGGTCTTGGCAGACTGCCAACTGAGCCCAGCACAGATTGCAAGTGCTAAGGCTCCCGCTTCATTTGTATATCCCACTCTACCTACCCCCCTTCAAAAAATAATCATGCGACCCTCGATTTCCTCATCCCCCCATGTAATTCGTCGGGGTTGCGCAAGGTTTTGCAAGCATGGAAGAAAATGCCTATCCAGGAGAGAGCCTTACAAATCCAAATGAGCAGAGAAGTCGTCCATGGAAGAGACCGGTTCCCGTTGGCATGGCCGGAGGGCGGTCTCCGCGCGCGGGGGGGGCCTTCGTGCTTGGTTGCTTTTCCTCGGGGGCGAAAACAAGATCCCTTTGGGAGGGTAGAGGTCAGGCGACCCTCGTGCCTCTCTCACCCTTGGTGACACGGGTGAGAGCTTGCCTCTGCCAATGGTGGGGCGCGCGGGGTACCGCCGCCGTCTGTGGCTGCCTCGCGGGGCCCGTCATTCCTTGAAGATAAAAGTTCAGCTGCGCCAGGAAACGAGTGGGGAGGGGAACACACATATATGATATATTTGTGTATGTTTGTATGTATGAACGGTCCTTCATTGTGCCCGGGTGCGTGGCTGAAGTGGGGGTCCGTGGTGAAGATTATGTTTTTTTGCGTTGTTGCGTTGTTGTAGTTGTTTCTAGTCGTCGTCCCATCAGCGGCCCACCCACGACCCACCCCGCGACCCACCCGTGACCCACCCCGCGACCCACCCGCGACCTAACCCGCGACCCACCCCCGACACCCCGCGACCAACCCGCGATTCATTTGCGACCCACACGCGACCCACCCCGCGACCCACCCGCGACTCACCCCGCGACCCGCCCCGCGACCCACCCGCGACCCACCCGCGACCCCCCTGTGACCCAACAGCGACCCACCACGCGACCCACCTGCGACCCAGCCGCGACCCATTTGCGACCCACCCGCGACCAACCCACATTGGTTTAACTAAAAATCGGCGCCTGCGGCGGGCTCGTTGCATAAGTAATGAAAGTTTGGCGCCTGCGGCGGGCTTCACCAAAGTGTCGCACACTGCTGACGTCCTCACCGCCCCCTCACTTTTATCCGCATTTGTTGGGTGCTAAGTATAAGTAGTAAATATGTAATCGCGCGTGTGTGTAGCACCCCGCAGTTGCGGAAAAAAAGTGGTGGGGGAGGCGGGCGTGGAGTGGGTCGCGGATGTGTCGCAGGGGCGGTCGTGGGTGGGTCGCGGGTGGGTCGCGAGTGGGTCGCGGGTGGGTCGCGGGCGGGTCGCGGTTGGGTCGGGGGGGTGGGTCGCGGGTGGGTCGCGGATGGGTCGTGGGTGGGTCGCGTGTGGGTCGCTTGCCGGGTCGCGAGTGGGACGACGACAAAGGCAACAAACAATAACAACAACACACCACAACAACATCAATAACAGCAACAAGCAACAACACCACACAACAACAACAACACCACCACCAACAACAACAACAACAACAATAACAACAACAACAGCAACAGCAGCAGCAACAACAACAACACCACCACCACCAACAACAACAACAACAACAGCACTTGCAACATCAGTCACAACACCAACACCAACATTAACAACAAACATTGTAACACTGGTCGTTCCTATCTGCTTGCGTTCGTGTCGACATGTATATCCCAAACCCTCGGTACCCGCCCCCTTCGTGTTTGATCGTATTTCCCTGGTGGTCTATCTTCCTTACGTGCCGCGTGTAATTGGTACAGCCGTGAACACAAGAGAGGAGAGGACGGATGAAATGGGGACCAGAAATGATGGAACACGGGATTCACAGGAGCGGGACTAGGAGCAGAACAGAAGTGGCAGAACCAGACGGGCAGATCGGGCAGGCAGACCCTAACGGGCAGGTCGGGAAGGCGGACCCAAGCGGCCAGGTCGAGCAGGCGGGTTGCTGAAGCGTGAGTAGTGCATGAATCGCGAGATGATCTCGAGCGTTAGCGCGATTCCCACGCGAATCACAAGAAAAGCACACAATAACGCGATTCCTGAGCGTCGAGGGCGCGGCGCTTGAACAAATTGCGAGGAAGATCCACGCGAGAGCGCCCTTCCTGCTTGAATTGTGAGGACGTCCTGTGCGAGAGCGCCATTTCTCCTAATACTTTGTAAGACAGTATCACGCGGGAGCCGTTGCCCCTGTAACACGGGGGCCCAACAATACAATTTGCGCACGAAGACCTGCCCTGATACAAAACATGGTACGAGCCCCGAGAGAGGGCATTTCAAATGAAAAACGCCATGTGCAGTGGCGAAGGGGGATCAACTATCATAATTGCTCTTCAACCGTGAGAATGCAACAGCAATCATTTTGAGACTGATCGCTCTTATCTGCTCGCGTACCGTTCAACACGCACATCCCAAACCGTCGATTTCCGCTCTCTTCGTCTTCGATCGTACCCTTTTGGGGGGTGAGTTCTTTGTATAGCAACGTGTTTTTCGTGCAACCCCCTAAGACAGAGGAAGAGAGGACGGACGGAAGGAAGGGACAAGGGGTAGGGAGGAGGATGGGGCACGAGATGGGGATAGCAGGAGGAAAGCTAGGAGCAGAAACCACGTGGCAGAATCAGACGAGCAAATCGGGCGGGCGGACCCTGGCTGGCGGGTCCGGAAGGCAGGCCCATGCGGCCAAATCGAGCAGGCGGGTTGTTGGAGCGTGCGTCCTGCATAAATCGCGAGGAAGTTTCTCGAGCGTTAGCGCGATTCCCAAGTGAATCGCGAGAATGCCCACAGCGAGGGCGTGATGCCAGGGTGTCGAGGGCGCGGCGTTAGAATATATCGCGAGGAAGTCCCACGCGAGAGCGCCCTCCCTCCATAAATTGTGAGGACGTCCTGTGCGAGAGCGCGATTTTGAAATACACTGTGAGGAAGTATCAAGCGGGAACCGTTGTTGTTTAACTCGAGGGCCAGGGGCCCAGTCTGTCCTTCAATATTTTCGGATTGAAAGCAGGGTGCGAGCCCCGTGAGGGGGATCAGCAATAATTATTCTTCCAGTGTGAGGGTTCAACGGAACAGCAATCCGCACTGCAGAACCCCACTTCAGCCACGGACCCAGGCACCGTGAATGACCGCTCGGCCCCTTTTTTATCCTGATACTTCTATATATGTACGTATATGAATGGCTGTATGTGCGTCTGTCTGTATGTCTGTATGTGTGCATGTATGTACGAATGTATGTCTGTATGTATGCATGTATGGTTGTGTATGTATGCCTGTGTAGGTATGTATGCATGTATGTTTGAATGTATGTATGCATGTATGTCTGAATGTCTGTATGTCTGTATGTTCGTATGTTTGTATGTTTGTATGGTTGAATGTATATATGTCCGTGCCTTCAAGGGCCGCAGGAATTGCCATCTCATCTTCGGCGGAAGGACGGCGGATGGGCGGCGGAGGCTGGCGGAAGTGAAACGAGGCCGCCCCGCCAGCGGACGCCGGCGGAAGTAAAAGACGCGCCCCCCAGGAATGGCAAGGGTTCACGGTTTCGGGAATCGGCCATAAATTCAGAGATGTGTGCATATACAAATTCACGTGTATCTATATATATATATATGCATACATACAATGTGGCATCGATTCCCGCGCGCATGGGTAGCAGACGGTGGTGTTGCGCATGAGTGTCAGTGGCGTCGTGTCTTTGTCGTCTTCGAGGGAAGGCGTCCCGGAGCAGACGTCCCGAGTTGTGTCGTGGACGCTCCCCGGGCCCGCGGGGGGCCCGTGGGGGCCCGAGAGCGGCGAGGGGCCTGCAGGTCTGGAAGAAGCTTGGCGCTCCGCGCGGATTTCTTGGATCCGCGCTGGACCCCCTGGCGGCGGTGCATGTCCTCGGGCTGAGGGAGCTCGGGCGGGGGCCCGTTTCTGATCCGCGCCAATGCAGGCCATATCGACCTCTCCTCTTTGGCACCCGTGGCGGCCGCCCGACTTGCGCGAGAAGTTGCCGGGGATCGGTCGGCCATCGGTGCGCTGCGTTGAGGGGCTGCAAGAGATCGCGGCCGGCGCCGCCCCTGGCGCGCTCCGCGCGCCAGGAAGGGGGTCCAGCGCAGATCCAAGACATCCACGCGGATTACGTTCATGCCGTTTTTTCTTGTTCTATTCGTGCCGCCCTCTTCTGAGGGGCCACGAGGACGAGACACACCAGCCGCCTCGCCCTGGTTGGTGACGCTGGAGGGCCTGGCTTCGTCCTCCCTGCGGCCCCCCCCCCCCGCGGCGCCGCGAGCCAGGTTGTGGCGCTGGTGGGCGTCGCGGGCTCCCGGCTGGGCATTCGCTCCCTCGACCCGCTCGCCGCCATCGGCGTGGCGATCATGGTCTGCGGGCGCGACAGGAGGAGGGGGAAGGATGAGGAGGAGGAGGAGGAGGACCAGTGTCAATCCAAGACGCAGCAACCAAGTTCCCTCTTCACAGGTCCCTACAAGACCTTCCAATCATTGCGGGAAGTGCCGCAACGGAAGACAACCGTTTGAGGATCTTGAATCGTGCCACAACACTATTTCTGGGACTTCACGCCGCGAATCAGCATGGCTGTTGCGTCCCGACAATCCTAAATCGTGCCAGAACACCATCCGTTGGACTTGAGCACCGCGAATCATCGTGACTGTTTTTCCTGACAGCGATAGTTCGTGCCAAAACATCGCTCCTGTGACTTCAGCAACACGAATCCTTTAAGCTGCTTCACACTGTTGACACGAATGTGCGCGGTGCCGATGCGAAGGCTACACTGTGAGAAGTAACTGTCCTCCATCCTCGAAGCTGTTGCAAGTGTGTCAGGCTTCAGGAATCATAAACGGTGAGGACGTCTACGTCGTAACGCCTGGCCCGCCCTACCAACACGTCTGAGGGTGCGACAGGGAGGATTTAGTCATAAGGAAAAGGGTTGGATGAGCATAAAGATGAGGGGGCGTCGGTGGCAAAGTGGGCGAGGGAGAGAGTAGAGGAGGAGGAGGAAGAGGGAGGAGAGAGGAGAGAGGGGAGGATGAGGGGAAGGAGGAGGGGGAGAGGGGGAAGTGTCGGAGAAGGAGGAGGAGGAGGTGAAGGAAGAGCGCCACTTGGAGATCTCCTGGTGCTGCCCTGGCTCAGGATGCCCTTGTTAGGCAAGTGTCGTGGGAGCGGATGGCTCAGGCTGGACGGACAGAAGGGGCGGGGGAGGCGGGAGCAGGAGGAGGGGGAGGAGGAGGTGGAGAAGTAGGAGGAGGCGGGGGGAGGAGGAGGAGGAGGAGGAGGAGGAGGAGGAGGAAGAGGAGGAAGAAGGACGAGGACTAGGAGGAGGAGGAGGATGAGGAGGAGGAGGAGGAGGCGAAGGAGCAGGCGGGGAAGGGGGATAGCGAGGGAGAAGTAGGAGCGAGGAGAGGGGAGGCGGTAAGGAGAGGAGGAGGAGGAGGAAAAGGAGGAGGAGGAGGAGGAGGAGGAGAAGGAGAAGGAGAAGGAGGGGGAGGGCGAGGATGAGGAGGAAGAGGGGGAGAGGGAGGGGGGGAGAGGAGGAGGTGAAGGGGGAAGCGGGAGGATATAGGAGAAGTTGGAGAGAGATGGGGGGGAGGAGGAACGGAGCGGGAGGGTGGGGGAGCAGGACGAGTTGTGAGGGTGAGGAGGAGACAATGGCCAATTAGGATGAGGACGATGAGGAGGGAATCGCAGCAGCAGTATTCATGTCATGTGGAGCAGGAGGAGGGGGAGAAGGATGGAGGATGAGGGAGGCGGAAGAGGGCGACACTGATCACGTGTGGTATCCGTTGCTCTCTGCTGGCTGCCGCTCGGACCGGAGCTCTTGCGCCCGAGGTCTTCAACATGGGCCTCGGCATCAGCGTGGACGCCCTGGGCCAGCTCACGGACACCACCGACGAGAAGCTCGTGGGGCTGGTAAAGCAGGCGGCACGCCGAGGACGCTTGCCCCCCCTTCCCCGCTAGCCCGACGGGTGACGACGATTGCCACTGCCTTCTCCACAAGAACAGGCAGGGACCACATCGACGAAGCCTGCGAAACGGGGGGAAAAGGGGGGATTCCAGGCGTCGCCGCTGCACGCTGCTGCTGCTCTGGAGGAGAGGCCGCCGCGAAGAACTGCAAAATGGGTCTCAGCTGCTCCCGCTGCTGCGTGAGCGCGCGGGGACCTGAGAGACTTGAAGAGGAAGCCTGTGCTGATACCGGTACCTCTCCCTCGACGCCCTGGCTGGACTCGCCTCTAGATGCTGGCCAGATTGCGCCCCTGCAGAGGTCCCGGGAGCAGCGGTACCGGTTCCTCCCGCTGCGGGCGCAAACGAAGCCCATCCAAAGATGTGTAGTCGAGGGGGACACCCCTGGCCCCACATTTCAATGTTGTCTCCGCTGCCGATATGGGAGTGCAATCGTCGGTATACTAAGCGCCCAGATGAGGCGTGCCAAAAAGGGCACTGCCTTCGAGGATAGAAGGAGTTGTCATCTCCTCCTCGGAGGAAGGCGGCGGAAGGGCGGCGGAAGTAAGACGAGGCGCCTCTGCCGGCGGAAGGGCGGCGCAAGGTGGCGGACGTAAAAAAAGCGCCCCCAAGTGATGCCAACATTTTTGGGTCTGGGGATGCTGGAATCCGCCTTGCGTTAAACCCGCAGGCCCATCCGTGTCCAACATGCTGCGGGTAACTGGGGGCTGCGGGTAATTGCGGGTAGCTGGGGGGGGGGTGATCGGCAATCGCAGGCCCTGGCCAGGCAGGGGAATGCACCTGGACTGGCCTGCAGCGTCGGCAAGAGGACGAGGATGGCGGGGAGAGGATCAAAGGGTGGCCACCACATGCGAGGAGAAGAGCAAAGGGTGGCGAGGAGAGGAGAGGATCAAAGGGTGGCGAGGACGAGGAGAGGAGAAGATCAAAGGGTGGGGAGGAGAGGAGAGAATCAAAGGGTGGCGAGGACGAGGATGGCGAGGAGAGGAGCAGCGGGTGGAGGAGAGAGCAGCGGGACGGCCACCACGTGCGCCGCTCGAGTCCGGCCACGCCAGCTTCGTTCTGGTGTGCCACTGTCGGCTGGCCACCTAGAGGGCAAGGCAAGCTGCCCCGAGCAGCAGCAACAGAGAATCCGATGTACAGTTGGTGCATGTGCTTCCGTCCCACCCATCCTGTGTTGCTGGGTCCTGGTTTTGAAGAGGCAGCGCCCCGCGTTCGTCGTGGGCTTCAACGAGGGGGGATGGCTAGCGGGGGGTGGATATCATGGCTTGGGCCATGATATTTCCTCAGATTTCATGGCGCCTCTTCTTATTTCATTACGTCCCTGGCCCCCCCCTGGGCCGCGCACATGCCGCCGGCCATGATTTGCCCCCCCCTCCTTCTTGACCCCCCCTCTTGGCCGCCCCCGTCAGTTGGTGCATGTGTTTTCGTTCCATCAATCCTGTGGTGTTAGGTCCTCGTCTTGAAGAGGCAGCGCCCCGCATTCCGCACTCCTCCTCCCCCACTCCTCCCATCCCTGCCTCTGCCCTCCGCGTGTCTTTGTTTCGGCACACCCCTCACACACTTCGTGGCCCCATAGGGAGCTTCACGGGGGGTCATGGGGGGAAGACCCCCCCAATCTCCGCAAAACCTCCTCCGTTAACGCCTCCCCCCCACCCCCCTGAGGGGGGGGGGGTCCAGGGGGTGGGTGGGAGCACCCCCCCCCCGAGCGGGGGTTTTAAGGAGGTTTTCAAAGGGTGTGTTTGATCATAGTCTTGTTTTCTATTTTGGCGACCCGGACCCCCCCAAAAAAACCTTTCCAAGCCTCACCCCCCCAGGGGGTCCAGGAAAACCCTTCCAAAACCCATCCGTGAGGGGGTCTAGGAGGAGTTCTACAGGGAGGAATCGGGGAACTGCCACACTGGTCTTCGAGGAGGAGGAGGAGGAGGCGGAGGCGGAGGCGGAGGCAGAGACGGAGCAGAAGACGGAAGACAAGACGGAGGAGAAGACGGAGGAGTAGACGGAGGAGGACATTGCGGCAATGGTTGAGAAGGCTGAGGAGGAGGAGGAGGAAGAGACGGAGTCGAATGATGAGAAGGAGGAGGACCAGGAGGAGGCGGCGGAGAAGCAACAGTAGCAGCATCAGATCTAGCATGAGCCTGGGTAAGAATAGTAGGATGATGGACAGGATGAGGGAGAGCAGAACAGGAGGGGGACGTCGACGATGGTGATAACTGTTTTGACTGGTAATGACGATGAGAGTATGAGGAAGGGAGGGACGAAGAACATGCTGCTGCTGATGATGATGAGGAGGAGGAGGAGGAGGAGCAGGAGGAGGAGGAGGAGGAGGAGGAGGAGGAGGTGTAGGAGGTGGAGGAGAATGGGAATGGGAATGTCAGTTCACTAAGTGAAAAGTGGGCCTTACACCTGGGGGGAGGACCGACCTGACCTCGAACGGATGGCCTGCTCAGCCTTGCTGAGGACCTTGGGCCATAAACCTCGGTCAATTCGGTTCAAGTACTCGACCCCTGTAGGTGTGGCTCGGCCACGGCACTGCTTATGAAGCTCGCTGGCTCTCTTACTGGAGAAGGAGCCGCACACCTTACAAAACCACAGCTTCAGAACGGGACATAGAATCATAGTGTGACTGTTGTGGACCCAGCCCCCCGCTAAATGAAGTATAAAACTTGCAGGTTTAGTTAAATACTTACCATTCAGAAACACAGGGGAACAACATGGGCTACTCTTCCACTGGACAGCTGTGGCCTGCGTAGCTGTTCCAAAACACCTCGAACAACGGAGAGCCCCATCGTCTAAGGAGTGGCTGGTGGTGAAATTGGCCACAGCTGAGACAGACGGAGGACGAGGAGGGGGAGGGGGAGGAGGAGGGGCCTCACTCATCCTCGGAGCCTCGCCCGCCTGGTAGCTGTCGAAAGTCGATCGTAGCAGCCGATGCCTCACAAGGTATGCTTGGCGTTCAATCTCATGCAGTCGATGCCGATGCTCTGACGGAACGCGGAGCTCAAGGGCAGCAGCACCGACGATGGCGTCAATGGCTGTGTTGCCCAGAACCTGCCACAACTCCGCACGGCCGTCCACGACGGCCTCTCCTCCAAGATGCGAGTGGACAAATAAAACAGAGATATCAGCTGGGTCCTTGTCCCGTAGGACACAACCGATGTGACCCCAAATGTCGGCGTCCACTCCAGAAGGGTTAAGATACTTAGCTTGATTCCACCCATCGCACACTGGCTTACAGTCCGTGGTGAAAACCGTTGGTCCGTTCGAAGCAAAAACGGTCAGCCATAGGGCCTTCAACTCACCGCGCGCCACCGTCTGACGAGTACCTGCTAATCCACCAACAACATAGGCATCAACGACCAGCGGCTGGAACACACTGACCACGGCTATGCCCACGGCGACCCTCCTCAATCTCGGGTCCGCGGTGTCGGGTCCTCCGCTCGCATCGCCAAACACGTACGTTGGTTGGAGCGCAGAACCTTCGGGCAAGCACCTTGGGCCGAAAGCGTTGATACCGTCATATTCCCAGTCGTCAGCATATATGGGAGCTGGCATAGTCGTCCACAGTCTCGGGATGAGCCCGCGCAGCCAGAAACACGGCGTCTGCTCATGCTGCGCACAGGCTTTGACCACGAGACAGTCACTCTGCTCGTAGGCTGCCGATCCCGTGTTCCTGCGGCACAACCACGCTCGATGATGCGAAGTCTCTCGCTCTTCCCCGCAACGATCACAAATATCTGCCCGGCTTGCAGTCTGATTAACTCCCGAGCTCGCATACTGGTCGGCCTTCCGCGCCTTGGTCCAAGAACCACCGATCGCCACTGACAGCATAACAGCCGCAAGACGTTTACCTGCTGGTCGGACTTGGGAGAGCTGAGCCAACAGCCGACGATACGAATAACTGTCGGTACCATCACGGAGACCCTCGCCGTCGAAGTGGAGCTCGGCCTGCTGCCAATAAGCTGACATAGCTGCAATCTTCACATCTTCCAGAAAGTCGTAAAAGGTAGCTACGTCGATCGACTCGACCCCCGAGAAGTTGGCGTCGGGGAACTCCCAGCACGTGTCCCCAGGAGGATCCCAGGCTGTCGGAGACCTCGGTACCCAGTGAAAGTCGAGCAAGTGTGTAATGACGGCACCCATTGGACCACGGACATGCCTGGATCGGTGACTGGGAGGGAGGGCCTCCAGCTTGGCCCGCAACTTAGGCCACGCCTGCTGAATGCTCGCACGAACCTCAGGATGAGCACGCCATTGGTAAAGCCACATAGAGAAGGTAAGATATGTGAACCTAGCAGCGGGGTCCTGGCCATGGGCTTCCAGCTCCAGCAGGGTCGTGAGGCAGCGGCCCTTGGTCTTAGGGTGGCACGCAGCCCCAAGACGGCGTCTATAATTGACCAACTCCTGCCCCATGACTCCGAAGGCTTGGAACCCGTAGCTCCCTGCTGCCTGTGCGCCTTGCCGCTCCAGTCGTGACGTAAGCTGTGACCTGCGCAGCGTCCGTACGTACTTGACTACCTTCCTGTGCCGTGCCAAGTGCTTCTGCTTCCGCTTGCTACGCTCAGCGCGGACGTGCCGACGTCCTCCGCCCAGGTCGACGCCCAGGTATGAGGTAGAGCGAGCAGCAGTGACAAAAACACCCCGAAGGCGAAGGGCTCGAACAATATCCTTAGCCACCGATAGCTTAGAACAAACGATAACCGATTTCCCAGCCAGTCTGAGGCCTTGCTGCTTCAAGCCCTTGGCCGTGTCCACGACGCACTTGACAAGGTCCCTCTTGACTTGCTGCTGAGAACCCCGCGTAGCTTGAGAGATGTCGTCTATCCAAAGACGATGGGAACATCGAACATTCGCTGTACAAATCTTGTCCATGATGAAGTAGGTCATCAATCTGATGGAGTGTGCGGGGGTGAGCACATTGCGATATCTCAAGATAGAGCACCGTGGCAGGAAACTCTAGACGAAGGGCTGCAT